GCTTGTTCTTTCGTTGTTGGTATCTCTCTCTCTCTCTCTCTCTCTCTCTTTCCACTACTTAGTGGTACTCTTATATTTTGCTACTTTTTACTGCTTGGAAGGGCCATATATCTACTTAATTTTCCCATGTTTTAGGAGATCTTAAGACCTCTTTCTCCCCCGAAAGAAAGAATTCTGTGCCCTATTGGTTTTTTTTAGTGATTAAGTTGAAAACAGTATATTTTCTTGTGTTCCTTTTCATGTAGTTCATCGATCATATGGTTTTCTGTTCTTTAAAATAGGCTCCTCCAAGTTACCACCACCAAGGGCTCCACCACTGCCGCCCCTCCCAGTCTCCCACCACCAACAACCACCAGAAAAAAGTGGGAGTGGGGACCCGTCTGAAAAACTTATGTTTAGTGTTAGAACTAACTTTTACCTCAAGGTCAATGAGATATTTTGAGCAAAGACAATTCATTAAATGGTCGGTTGGCTTATTAGCTATCAATCTTACATATGGCCTAATCTAAAACCAAATTTTCTTATCTACCTCGTCCAACCAAAACTAGGGAAAGATTGCCATGTGGCCCATTTTTTCCATAACAAAGTTGGAAGAACCAAGAACCCCTAATGACACAAAGAAAGCACCACACATTAAGGGTCTTTCATTGCAAATGTGGAATTTTGGGGAAAAGAAAATGAATTATAGAGATTGAATTGCCTAAAATTTGTTTTACTAGGAATTGTAATTAATTGTGTTTGATTGGTATAATTTTTTACTCGAAAAATGTTGAAAGTTTGGTGTCCGTTTGACTTTGTTTTTTCATGGAAGTTGTCCATTAAACTGATAATTTTTTTATCATTGGGTTTAGAATTTGTTCCAATTACAAAATAAAAATAAAAAAAACAAAATTATCATACCGAATACCATTCGTTTGGCTTTGTTTTGTATGGAAATTGTCAATAAAAGTGATAATTTTTTTTACAATCGTGTCTAGAATTTTTTTCAATTAAAAAAAAAAGGCAGGAAAACTAAAATCCACCTAAAAGGTGGGAAAGAAAATTCATCAAAAAACAAGAAAAAGTGAAGGAAAGTGGGAAAATGATTTCTATGAAAAATTTCTCCCATCAAACAAAAAGATAGAAAATGGAAAATAAATTCTTAATTCTAGGGAAAGCAAATGCTATCAAACAAGCCCTAAGTTCAACACCTCTCTCCATACTTCGTTTCCAGCTCACAAAACCCGAAGTGAAAAAAGTCTTTTTAAGGCGATTATTACTAACGAATTCTAAGAATAAATCTGCACGTACAAGATAATTTCGCAGGTTTTTGCACAGGAACATAGACAGCTGTTCTCCTGTGCAAAAACCTATGAAATTTTCTGTACTTATAGCCTTGTTCCAAATCTAAACATAGATTACAAATGGGTTGTCTCGGCCATCCTGAACTTGAATCAGAGACCTCGCCCTGTGGAGTAATATCGTACCGACGGGCCAACCAATTGGGAGAGAATAAATATGCCTAAAGTTAGGTTGGAAATATAAAATAATACCTTTATGTCATTGAAGCTATTTTCCAACCAACTTCCATTTAATTGTCGCAACCGTTTGTTACCTAAATAAATGACTCTTGTCTTGTACAGTTTATGAAGTTTTTGAGCGAATGGCCTATTATGGGATATCCTCGAATCTCATCATTTACTTGACCAAGAAACTGCATCAGGGCACAGTTAAGTCAGCTAACAATGTCACCAATTGGGTAGGCACTGTTTGGATGACGTCTATTTTGGGTGCATATGTTGCCGATGCACTTCTCGGCCGTTATTGGACTTTCCTTATTGCTTCGGCAATATATCTCATGGTACGTCACTTAAAATGTTAATTCATGTTTTTAAATTCGACTTGAACATTAAAAAAGAGGGGTTAATTAAAAGAATTGAAATATTCAAATAAAAAAGCCAATTGGTGGACCTGTGCTTGGGTCACCTTGTTCCTGATTGAGCCAAGTGGTGGATCAGATTTTGTTATGGTCTCGATATGTTTGGGTCTTAGTATATAATTGGACTGATGCTTGACTGATGCCCTAATCAACTAATGTGGGATCCCTTTCACCACGTGCATGCCACATAATTTATGAATA